TTCCGTAGGTGGAAAACCTTTTCGGGGGGGGGGAAGTGATTCGCTCACTGAGCTGCAAAGCGGTCGGCCGCGAATTAGACGAATTAATTCGCCCGACTACGAGAGCGTTTGCGCTCTTACCTGAGCACGAGTAATCACTGATATTCCCCAGCCCACCCGACCTAGTATCCGCCACATGGACCAAGCACAATTCGACGAGTTGTTGGCAAAATTTGTTGCCACGGAGGCTCTCCTGAAGCTGTGCTAGACGACAACGAAAAATTTCGCGCCGAAGTTACCGAACTTTGCCAGGTGCAAGAGAATATGCACTAGTTACCAGTAGTCACCCCCCCAAGGACGCCGCTATCACGGGACGTGTCGAAACAGTCTTGGACGAAATCGCACGCAAAGTGTTGCAGAAGCACCGTGATAATGAAGCAGCAGCAGCAACGAATGCCGCCGCACGTGCCACGGCAGCTGCAGCAGCTGCGACAACGGCCGCCGCCCGCTCCGAAGCAGCAGCAACAGTTTCTGCAGCAGCCGCAACTACACCAAATGTACCAGTGGCCAAGATAAAGCCGCCGATGTCGCCCCCGTTTAGCCCCATGGACAAAAACACCACCATCACGGGCTGGCTTTTCGCGATGGAGCTTTATTTTGCTGCCGTCAGAATTGCTGTTGATGATTAAAAAATTAAACTGGTTGTTTCACTACTGAGGGGACCTGCATTGCATTGGTGACGTTCGACGCTAAGTGAGAGAGGGACTTCGGCAGGGAACACTCAGAGGTTTTTCGGGAGTTTGGAATCCGCTGCCCGGGATGCAACGTCAATTTTCGGATCGACCACGATTCGCACGTGGAAAGCGTGGGGTACAACTCTGTACGAACGGTTCGAGCCCATATCCGTCTCGGACAACGCACGGACGAAGCTGGACACCTGGCGCCAGCTGACCTTTGTCCAGGATTACGCGTCATCATTTCAGGCATTGTGCGACCAAATCACCAGCCTATCAGAAGCTGAAAAAAAAGCAGCGGTTCATCACTGGGCTCAAATCCGACGTTCGTTACGAAGTGCGGATGCGATGCCCAGAGAAGTTCGAGGAAGCAGTGGTGATCGCCGACCTGTACGACGCCAATCAAAAGTATGCGAGATCGGGTTCCTGGGAGGGAAATCATTTTCGTGGCCTGGATCAACGGCCCTCGATCAACGGCATTCTGGCGAACGACGAAGATCGCAGGAAGCGTTAGTGTTTTCACTGCCACAAGTCGGGTCACCGATATGCTGACTGCCCTGACCTGAAGCAGAGGAAAAACAACGATGGGGATAAGCTGGGAAATGACTCTCGTCAGTAGCAGACGGGTTTAGGTCATTTCCCAGCTTATCACTCTCTGGCCCCCTACTGACACGGCTGCATCACTCGAGAAACAACATCTCCACCAGGTAGTGGTACCGGTACACTCTATCGATCACTCTCGGACGAATAACGGGGATGAACATGAGGATCACCCTATGCTGGTAGAAGGAAGGGTTAACAACAAAAAAATGAAAATCTTCATCGATGGTGGTGCAAGCCACAGCCTGATTTTCATCGATGCCCCTAGAGCGGTGCCTGCCCGAGATCGATGCCCGATTGGTCGACGACACCCGCTGGCGATACGCGATCACGTGCAAACTGCTCGCATGAAGTGTGGTGACAATTTCGGTTTCAGCGCGCCAATGCTGGCGACGACACTCGACGACTCCGATGTGCTGCTGGGATGAGATTGGCTTCGGCGACACAACCCGCAGATCGATTCGACGACAGGCGAGTGCACAGTCAAGTGTGCGAATGGTCGGTAGATACTGCCCAAATGGCGAGGAGCAGAGCTGATAACGACACGCGTCAACGCCATCACGTTAACACGCGCGGTCAAGAAAGGCATGGAATTATATGTCGTCCATCTAAAGGAATCGACAGACGACGATCAATCGACCGACATCGAGAAGCTCTGCACAGCGGTCCCCGAAGATTTGGCAAAACGGATTCGTCAGTTCCAATATATTTTTTCCGGACGACCTGCCACCTGGCCTACCACTAGAACGCCCTCAGGACCATCGGAACAAACTCGAACCTGGCGTGCAACCAACTGACAGGACACAGTGGCGGCTGACGCAACCTGAGCTCCAGGAATTATGGACTAGCTGGACTATTTGCTGGCCAAGGGGTTCGTTCGACCGAGTACGTCCCCGTTCGCTGCCCCGCTCCTGCTCACATCCAAGAAAGATTGGGGAGTCCAAATGTGCATTGAATATCGCGCCCTTAATCGGGTTACGATAAAGTCTCGCTACCCAATCCTGTGTGGGGGCGAATTGATTGACTAGCTGCGAGGCGCTCGCTATTTCATGAATATCGACCTTCGCGGTGGTTATCACTAGATTCGAGACTTTGCCGACGATTGCCACAAGACCGCATTTCGTACTCGCTACGGGAGTTACAAATACACTGTCATGCAGTTCGGGTTAACGAATGCCCCCTCGATGTTCGAGCTGACGATGTACGGGTAATACGGGATGTACTCGATGAATGTGTGATCATTCAACTGGATGACATCCTAATTTAAAGCACAATACGGGAGGAGCACTTAAAGGACCTGAAAGTGGTTTTTCAGCGCCTGCAGCAAAATCGTCTCATCACCAAAGGCTCTAAGTGCGAGTTTTTAAAAACCGATATGGAGTTTTTAGGGCACGTTATTTCGACTGAAGGCGTGAAAATTGACCCCGCAAAATTCGGGCAATTCAGGAATGGAAGCCACCGACCAACCTCCATGAGCTGCAATCGTTTCTAGGGTTCATCAAA